GTAGTTTAGTCTTTCTCTCAAGTTGGATGATGATAATTCTTGAACCCTTTTCTTGAAATTGTCCACAAAGGATCAAAGGATTATTTCACAACAAGAATAGAGGTTTTAGAGAGTCTTTTTTTGCAAAGACTATCACAAAGTTACAAATTTTTTAGTTATAAAAGATCTAAGTCTGAAAAATGATATTTAAAGAACTCTCCATCTAAAATAATCGATTATTTACATGGATAATTGATTATTTTGTTCTTGGTAAATCTAAAAACCAGTCAAAAATACTTAAATCGATTATTTGTTGAGATAATCAATTATTACATAACACTAACTCTGAAATAATTGACTATTGCATAGTGATAATTGATTATTATCGTGAGTTTCTTAGAATGAGAAAAATAGAATAAATAATCAATTATTCTAAGTGGATAATCGATTATTTTGAGTGACAGATTCAAATTCTCAAATTTTCAAGTTTAAAACCAAGTTCAAAACCTTTTCATCAACAATCAACATCTAGTAATAGATATATAACTAAATTACTCGCAATGCACAAAGCAAACATGCATATCAAAGCATAAATCAAATCAACACAATTTTCACTCTCTTAAATATGAGAGGCACACTTTGTAATCATAAAAATATAAACTAAGTTTCATCATGAGCTAGGTCAACAAAACCAACCAGCCTCAGTAAAACAACATCTAGAATAATGATCAACTAAAAAAAATGCATAAAAACACATATCTCAAGATCAACATTTCTTTTTCATCTCCCAAAAACCCTAAAATTCCAGGACATGCAAATCAACAATCTCAACAATTCAACCATGTAATAAACATGAATTAACATCAACAACGTTTATGCTATACCTAGACTACAATCAAGTTCTCTCTACCTCAATTAAGGTCCCTAGGTGATGGAATCAAGCTATAGTAATGGTTGATGATTTGCTTCTCTTGACACCTACTCCCTTTGATCTTCATCCATGGCTTCAATTCTTGAAATAAAACTTCAAAAATGGAGAGAAATTGAGATAGAAGGTGACACCACTCTTCAAGTGGAGAGATGAGCCAAGAAGTGAGGTTATTGCCACAAGGAGGAGTTCCTTGATGAAAAAAATTAAGGAGTCACACTCTTTTATTGAAAATCAAGACTTTTGAAGGAGCATCACAAATGAATCCAATCATATAGTCAAAAGTGGCATGAGAGTACAAGGCTTGTCCTATATATAAACTAACCTAGCTTACGGAGCAAGTTAAGCAATCAATTAACCAAGGTTTGTTAACTACATAGGTTGGTGCGCCAATTTGACTTCAAAATTCAAATTTAGGCACCATTCTCTCAATTAAGTGGGCATGCCATGTGTCATGTGCACCCATGTGACTAGATCAAACAGAGCTTGTGAGAGTTTTCAATGTGACAAGTGTGAAAGGTGTGACTAGTGTGTGGAACATGTGACTGGATGCATGAGTTTGTGTAGCCTATGGTAAGGTGTCGAATATACCAAGTGGATAAACCTGCTCTAGGAGTAGGCGCCACTCTCCATTGGCCCAACACAAGTCCATTTACCTACATTTTCTACATACTATTTGCATCCCCTAAAAATGTAATTACACCCTAAAAGGAAAATTTTAAAGAAACAAATTCCTAATTTAATATGACCAAAATACAAGGTTAAATAAAAGAAAGATTATTTACAAAGAAATATTAATAAAGAAGAAGAGATGAACTTTTAAAAAACTTAAGCTTTGGTCTTTTTCTTTCATACCTAGTCCACTTTTGATAGTTCTTTTTGGACTTGGCTCACATGGGCATGATTCCATCATTAGATAGAAGAAACTCCCTCTACAACCTTCATTAGAGCTCTCTCAACTTTGATTCTCAAGAATCTCAATTTCATAATCTTCATTTAGCTTGAAGATCCACCAATCCTTAGCCTTGAAGAAAATCCATAACCTTTAAAAATGCTAAAAAAACTTAAACAATAGTCTAGAGTTCCAAGAAAAAGAAGAAGCAGTGATGTCAAACATAACATCAAAATATACTATAATTATACTATAATGCCAGACATAACCTCAAAATATCAAAGTTTATACTACTATTTTATTTAAATGCTATAATAAAGTGATGCCCTTGTAAAAAAAAAAACCTGATATAAAAAGAAGAAAAAAAATTAGTTGGCTGGTTGAATTGTTCATACTCACCTTGAACCCATTTTTTTTTGAGTCAAAACAAAATGGGTCAAGACATATTGATAGGTTGAAAACCCCAACTTATTTGAAAAAGTATAAAATGGATTGGTATGTTGATTTCTATCCATTTTATCACTCCACTCTTAATAAAACAGAAGTAATTCACAAATGTATAATAGGAGGAACTTAAAGCAATAATTTTAAATTTTAGAAGATTTTTTTTAAAAAAATATTGGACCAAAACTAAAACAATTATTTTACATAAATTAGAAATATATTTTAAAAAACTTCTTTAATAAAAAATGATGGCTTAAATATGTTTTTAGTTTTTATAAAATGAGTAAATTTTGATTTTGGTCTTTGTAATTATTTTTTAAAAATTTTTCTTCCTTCTAAAATTTTTAAACTTTTTTTTTGGTCCTTATAAAATTAATAAATTTTAACTTTGGTTTCTGTAAAATATTTTTCTTTAATTTTCTTTCATCTAAAATTTAAAATCACCATTTTGTCCTCTTGATAATTATTTTAAGATAAATAAATAAATTTTATTTTAAGAACTTATAAAAAATTTTAAAATATTATGCAATATTAAAATATCATTATCAATTGTGACTAATATTTGAGATTACCACTTAATCTTTGAATAAATAAATAAGTAATTAATAATAAATATATAATAATAAGAACTAAAAATAATAGTTTTAAATTTTAGAAATTAAAAAATAATTTTTTATAAGAATTATAATAAAAAAATATTTATTTATTTTATAAAAATGGTTAAAATTTGTAATATTATATGAAATATTTAAGGATTCCTTTGGGTCAACATACACTGATACACCTATTCATGTAGATCATTACTCACTGACGACTAATGCTGGTTTTCTGGAGGCATTTTGGGATTTTTCTTATCTAGTTTTACTTTTTCATTCTTTTTAAATTATTTGTCCAAACTTTTAGAAAAGATACTATATTTCTGCTTAAAACGGGTAACTTTTATTTCATGTAGAAAGGGATAAGAATTCCGAACTCTGTTGAGTCAAATTGAGCAATTAAAACTTATGCTAGACCTTTTTTTTCTTTTCAGAGAAAAGACTTTTGAGTTTAAAAAAATTGATCAAATTCTTTATATCCTTACTGTTAAGTTATTCGATTAAATAATGACGAATAGATATTTATTTATTTAATTTTTACAGCACTTTTCAATGAAAGTTATTGATTATTAAAAATAATAATATAATATTCATATATCATTACTTAAATGGAGTTTGGTGTTAAAGGGTGATAAAGATATAAAGAACTTGATTTAAATTTTGTTTTCTGATTTGATTCAATTATTTAAGGGTTTTTAATTTGACATTTTTAAAAATATAAACATTAAGTTTTGATTTTTTAATTAGCTCATTTTTTTATTTATTAAAGTTCTCCTTATAATATATTAAGCTTGTCAATTTAGTATTTAATAAATATTTGTATATTTAAAGAATAGGTAAAAAATAAAAAATAAAAGAAACTCTGAACCTGAAATTTATGTGTAATTATAATTTTTACTAAAAATTAAAATTTAATAAATGATAAAAAAATATTTAAATTGTTATCATCTCTATATTTTTTTTTTCTTTTCAAAATTAACATTTTTTTATTACATAAACACTCAAATCAGAATATACCTAACTTTGACATGAACAGCTTGTCATAAACTTTAATCATTATCAAGGAATTAAATGTCTTTTTATTTTTCAATGCCTCAATCAAGAAGGATAATGATGAAATGTTACATCCTTCACTCATCCGTATTTAAAGGGGGTTAAGTTCGTGACACACATTAATTTTAATTAATGGAGGAAGCACTTTAATTTACACTTTTATAATAAATATTGCAGTATTACAAAATTTACAATAAAAATTAATTTATATTCATAAAATATAATTTTTATTTATCAAATATTATTTTAATATTATTATTTTTTTATATTAAAAATCATTTTCCTTTATAAAAACTCTATTATATATATTAGTAAATTTAAGACATTTCATACCTCTATATATACAAACAGAAAAATATTTTATTTATCTATTATTGTGATATGGTACTTTGGAAGAAACACCAAGTAAAATGAGAAAACATATAAAAAAGAATATATTATTTTAGAGGAGTGGGTAATTATTTTAAATGATTTGAAGGATAAAAGAATATGTATAGTGAAAACGTGTAAATAAATTTCATTGAAGATTAATAACATGTTTTAAAATAAATGAAAAGACAAAGAATTAAAATTCTTTTTGTATATTGTTATATATATAATATATTTACAAGCACTTGTGTGCATGTGCATATAATATGTGACAATAGTATTTTTTTTAATGATTATGAACAAAATGTTGGTTAAGATTATATATATATATATATATATATATAAGTGTCTACTCTTTTAATAATAATTAGTCAATAATCAA